AAAATGAAAAATTATGATTGGTTGAATGAGGTTTGCACGGTTTGTACAAATTGAGTCGTTTGCATTTGATCGCTCCCCTATATATATATATATATATATATATATATATATATATATATAACAAGAAAGCGAAAAAGGTTGAGAATATATGAATAAATGATTACCATTCATATGTGGAGAAATATCCATTTAAAAATGCATATGTGAACCACAACTACAGCAGACTTGTTTCATAGTTTTCAACAGAGCGACAGACCCAACACGACTAACAGATAAGCCGACGTTAATAGCAAGTCTAATTCCGTGATAAAAGAGCTTTGTTTCCGAACAGATTTATCCAATCAGTAATGGAGATCACATTAGTAGGAATATAGGTTGATACACGTCTCTTCGGCTTGTGTTTCAATGACGGGTAAAAAATGCATTTGTGAACCACAATCGGTTACCTACTTCTTTACCAATTATTCGCATACGAAGATGCATATATGAACTAACTTTTCATTTTACCATTGATAAGGTAAAAGCAATGACAATGATGGAGAGTCTTATCCAGTAAGAGAGGGTGATAACTCTAACCAGTAAGTGTTTTTTCAGATAAGTTATTGTATACGATACTGTTTTGATGAACTACAATCTTACCTGATAAAGTAAGATAAAATAAAGAGTTCTACTCTTATCTGTAAGTGTTTACCAAGTAACAGTCCCGAAAACCAGCAACAAATTAAAGTGGGATTAATAACTCTTCAATGATGGTGTTTCTTCAGGTTGTCAATTCGAACCCATCTTTTCGAATTTATACCCTATAATTTTCTAACAATCATACGCCAGTTGAGTACTAGAGTCAATTAATTGAGACTATTAAACAACTGACAGATAACAACGAAATCACCGACGGCCTACTCTCCGTCACCTAGAACCTAAATAATACATACATTTTTATGTTCGTATTTATCGTACGAACAACTTCGGTATTTTTGATAATCTTACGAACAAGCGTTGTATTGATATGGGAATACCACTTTTTTATAGTTATTTTTTAAAAACAGAAGAGAATTATCCTCGATAATCCGTCGCTAATCTTAACCCTTGGTTATCCGTCTGTAATCTTAACCCTTGGTTATCCGTGTCGGTAATCCATGGGTGATAAATACCTTTGGAGATCCATCAGGGAAATTAATTGTTGGCTTTTTTTGGCATCAAAATTAGTTAAAATTTTATATCTTAACCCTAAAAATTTAAAACGATGATGGAAAATATTAATATGAGTTGAGATGGAAACTCAACTGGTTTATATTGATTCATAGTTATTTTGAATAGTCAACATTGTGACCGCAAATGATATCAATCTATATATTAAAAATATATTGTATGATGTGTTTGATAGTGGAACGAATTGACAATACGACCAAGGATCGTGTGAGAAAGAGAGTTAAGATGAGAGGCTTAAGAAGGAATATGGACTCTTGATCACTTTTAATCTCAAACTCACTCACGAATCGCGTTTGATACGGGGATTGATCTGGTCCAGAAGTGAAGATCCCTTCTTATACTTCTCACCTTAATTTTCCTTTTGATCAGAACCCAACCCTTGACGATACTACGTAAAAATGATATGCTAGATAATATTAATTTAGAACTAATTATTAATTGATTTTGCGTCGAATAATACTTGAGAAAATTGTTTTATATGAATTACTAATATTTTTTGGATTTAATGTTATTTTGATGATAAAAACAATATATTAAAGATTCTTTTTTTATACAGGTCGAGGGCCCTTTTTTACATTTCATTCAGGGCCTATAAAATGTCATGAACGGACCTGATAAATGATTATGATTCATATGTTAATCATAGGTAAATCCGAAGAAATGTCTCTTTAAAGATGCATATGTAAACCCACGTTGCAAGATTGGTACTTGGAGGCTCACGAGCAGTATATAGACTAAGGTTGCCCTCTTCAAACTCTGATTCGTCTTTTTCATAGAGAAATCTCTGAGCAAAAATAAAACAAGACCCATTTTGCATCGGTTACCTACTTCTTTACCAATTATTCACATACAAAGATATATATGTGAACTGACGCTCCATTTTACCAATTATTCACATATGAATCATTTAATTTATTCTTATGTTCTCAAGTTTTTCATTTTTTTTATTTGAACCTCCTATACCAATTCGTTTCAAGTTTTTTCTTATGAACTTGGATATCCAACCCGCTATGCGAGCCCACTAATTACAGGGAGACCACCTGTTTTGCATTGCAGGTAGTCGGAGTCATCGCATTAGAACCTCCGTAGCCATAAGCGGATTTTTATTCCTCCTTGGATTTAAACCTAAGACCTCCAGATACTTTTGACATTTAAAGCTCAAGCTCAAACCATTCAGATAATTATGTAGGGGTTGTTTACCAAATTTTTTATTAAGTCATGTCCGGATAAATTTGTCTGTCTGGATAAATGGGTGTTGTTGTTTACTTTTTTTTATCTGAACCAACAGTCTGAATAACATAAATGACCGATTTACCCCCAATATTAATTATTTGAACATCAAAACAAAACTCATAAAGAGGCCGAAGATGGGGTGTCTCATATGGGAAGGAGACGGTGCTTTAAATAAGGAGTTAGGGTGTCATTTTTGTGGCTGAATGAGGACAACACACCATTTCTATTTGTGCGATTAAGCCATGTTATGTGTGAATAAGCCGTAAGTAAATAACCCAAATGAGCTATGCAAATAAAGTAGATAGACCAATAAACCTAATTAAACTGCAAGTAAACCCCTGCTCTTAAAAGATTCAAGATGTTCATGAAGAGTGTAATGATAGTTGTATAAAATTAGATGTAGAAAAGCAACACAAATGAAAGTGGGATACAATGATAGTGTTTCTTCATGTCTTCAAGTTGTCAATTCGAATCCATCTTTCAGAATTTATACCCTCTAATTTTCTAACAATCATGACGTCATATATAATCTACTGGTTCCGAGTTATCTCGTATATCAGCTAATTAACGCTATTAAACAACAGACTGTTAGCAACAAAAATCACCGACGATCTACCACCTCTACCTACAACCTAGATAGTACGTACGGACATTTTTAACGTTCACATTTATCGTACAAACGAAAATTTTTGATAATTTTATGGACAACTTCGGTATTTTTGATAATCTTACGTGACAAGTTTTGTAATGATACGGGAAATACCGTTGTTTGAAATTATTTTTTTGAAAGAAAAGAGAATTACCAACAAAAAGCCATCGATATGTTGGTATCAGGTAATCTTAAGCCTATGTTATTGGTCAATGACTTTAACTGTCGGTAATCCGTTGGTTATAAATACCTTCGGAGATCCATACTTGGAATGATCGCGACTCGACCACGAAATTGATGAAATCGAGGGTCTAAAGATCCATTAATTACAACAAAATCGGGTTTATAAGACCCCAAAATATCTGAATGTCCTAAATGGATTATTTTATAGGACTTAAGTTCATATGAACAAATAATCGTGTCATATAAAGGTGTTGCATTAAGTTTATAAGACGAGTTTCCGACTATGTTTTAGATTGAAGTATCCTTTCGTTATATCTTTTTAATGTCTTAACAAACTTTTTAGGACAATTTTAAAATGAAACATCAGATTAATTTGTTTATATGACATTATTCAAAAAAATCTTATAAAATTATGAAAATGTAAAACACTATTCTCATGTTTATTAGTGTAAAGGTTGGGTTCCACTGAGAATAAGAATTAACGTGAGAAGTATAAGAAGGGACCTCCACCCTTGGATGCACATTAGGATGAAATGTACCGAGATGAGATGCACTGGATCCATGCCCATATCAAACGCCATTCATGATTGGGTTTGAGATTAAAGGTGATCAAGGGTCCAGATACTTCTCACGCTAACTCACCTTAACTAGGAGGTGCATTAAAGTCGATAACATCACTTCATTTATACCACGATTAAGCTGGAATTTACTCATATCCAATCCATATATTGGAACACTCAAAACGTTAATAATGTAAATCTTTACAACAGCAGAACTCAAAACGTTAAAGAAATTGAAAGCATATAATCGACCGGGATCATAGAGTGAGCTCAGATTCGCACCTCGTTATTCAACTCATGCCCCAACATGAACCACCCATGTTTCAGAACAGGGCAAATCCAACTCAATGAACCCAGTAAACCCCACGTAGAGACCAAAGGGTCATTGGCTAGACGGTACCTAGGTGATGGTAGTGCCTAGCCTCCCAACAGGTCAAGGATTCAAACCACATCAAATGTGAGAAGTGTGTGTGAGTATTTATCGTATATAAATATTATATACTTCAAAAAATCTCATGTAAAAGCAGGGTTAGGAGTAAGATGTAAGCAGACCTTACCTCTACCTCAAAGGATGGAAATTTGTTTACGTGAAAGACCCCAACTTGCAAAACAGTATACAACAAAGACGAGATTAAACAAATCTCAACATGACCAATTTTGGCAAACTACAGGAACGAATCATCGTCTAGCTTTGACTCATTAGCCTCCTCCAAGGCTTATACTTTCCAAACTTAGAAAGAAATCCGTCGGCAGGTAGTATTTATCATAACTGAACCATCGAAATCTTGACGATAATTTGAAATGATAATTACCACTGGTTCTAGTTTAAGGAATACTCAAAAAGGCAAGATGGTTTCTATTGGAATCAGAAGTAAAGCATACAACAGTAAAAGATGTTGGTCAAGTTACAAAGATGTACCATTTACATTAGCACGAGATGTTTGTTTATCCTGAATGATCCTATCGAGTGTCTCATCAGGTACTGAGATACCGCTCGTTTCCAGGTCTGCAACAATTGCGATAGCTGCATCAAGTTCTCCAAGATCAAGGCATAACGTGATAGCCTCGTCGTATAATGGACTGCAGGACAAAAAGAATCCGATATAATTTGCATACATACTTTCTGAACAAGTCTAACCTCAAAAAAATTAACATGGATCACATACATATAACTTGAACTAAAGTTATTTGTGATACTAAAAACCATTTTTATTCTCAGCCTCTCATGTAAATATCAAACAATGAAAAAGGCACACAGTTTTAGAAATGTGCAATTATTAGACTTTTTTAATTAGCTGAAGGACAATTGTACCCTTAATAATAGGAGTAATAAAATTTCTTCGCTCATAATTAAGGGTAGAATTGGAAAGTAAGCAATTATTTTAGAAGGTGGACACTTATTTTGGGACAAACTCAAATACATATGTGGAGACTTATTTCGGGCCGGAAGTAGTAGTTCCAAAGAAATAAAAATTAATCATCTCATGGTCCGGAGAGAATAACTACGGATGGGAGTTGATATTGTGGAGAAAAACATCAAGCAATAAATAGTTCAATCTGCTGAGCTTTTATAAACGCAAATCAAATGAGACCAGTATATTCCATCTCCCTTTAATTATGGTTATAGTCCTAATAACCGACTGAGAATGATACTTTCTAAAATAATAATGAAGTAAAACTGAAATATATACTATTAGATAATTTCCAGCTTACCTCCCAAACACATAACCGAGGCTATGTGTTGTTCGTAAAATTTCTAAGAAGGCTGCAGGATAAGGAGCTCTCATTGCTGCGCGAAGAATTATGGCACAGTCTCCAATGGTTGGTTTCCCACCCAACTCTATTACCTGAAATCGATTTATTATTACATTCAGTCGATGCAAATAAAATACATCAGAACTTATTACAACGAGTGAGGATCAAAAGAAAAAAAAAGTGAAGGAATGAAGGAAAAAGACGGTAATAGAGAGGCGTTTGGCAGAAGGATTCAAAGCTTACTTTCACCATTAGCTTCACGGCCAGCTCTACTTCCCATTGTTGTGACCAGCGTCGAGGGGGGGTATTCCTTAGTTCCATTTCCCATGTCCAACCCCAAGCATCGGCAATTGTGTACATATCTGATACATCAAATACTTTCCTATTACGCATCTCCTTAAGTGCCTCCTGTATATCCAATGGGAACCAGTCTTCATCGTCGTCGTTCTGCAGGAACAGAATGTGATGATGTTCGGAATATATATCTCCAAAAATGACAATCAAAAACTACGATGCGAACACTAGTTGCAATAGTGCATTACAATAATGGCCTGGAGAAACAAAAATAAAATAAAATAAAAGCAAGTCATAGTGAACAAATGAGAATATATTATTTCAACAGGCAACACCAATAAAGCCTTGAAGAATTGAATGTAATTGTTAAGAATATAAAATCTTAAGTCTGAAAACAAATTTTTAATCATAAATAGGTCTCATCTACTAGAAGCAAGGTTTTAAATGGCATGAGGCATGGAGCAGTGTCAAAGTCAAGCCTTAGTATCCACTCCAAGGCCACGACTTTTTCCATGGCTCGGCAAGCATGTATATCATATATATAATATTTTTTATATATATTAAACAGCAAGCTGACTTGGGACTTCAGGCAAGGTGTATCAAGTGGGAGATTTAGTTTTCTTAAAGCTACAGCCATATCGACAGAAAACCTTGGCCACTTGTTTAAACCAAAAGTTAGCAGCGCGTTTCCATGGACCATAAAAAGTAGTGGAAAGGATTGGTTCAGTAGCATATAACCTGGAGCTATCTCCTTTGGCATCCAATAATCCAGTATTTCATGTACCTTAACTGTGCAGAGCTATTGGGCCTCGTGTGGCCACCAAAACGACCCCCTATCCCCCCCCCCCCCAAAAAAAAAAGCACAAAGACTTATTAACAAGCCAAAAAGGATTATACAGAAACAAGTGAATTGAAGCAAAGAATAGCATATATATGGATTATATATGTATCTATGTAAACCGGTCAAGTTGACAGGCAGTATTATGTAACTACCACATGTCATTGGTACTATTCATACCTCCATTGCAATTCGGGATAACCTTTTTTGTGATTTTTTTGATCTAGCTGGTGTAGAATCACCTTTAAACAATTGGACACCTATCATTTGAAGGGGATTTGCAGCCACAGCTTCCTTGTCCTTGACCACTTCTGTGTCACCAGATTGGCTTTCGGTTTGTTCCAATACCTCCTCTTTGTCTGCTTCATCATCATCACCCTGTTTAGTCACGTCCTCAGAACCATCAGGATCATCGGAGACATCTGAAACTTCTATTTCAATTGCTGTCGACTTTCCATATTCAGCATCTAAGCCTTCTCCAAGAAATCTTCGTCTCCAGAACTCTGTATTCCCTTCTTCTAGCCTGACCCGAGATACTAACGCCTCCACCTCCTCATCAATCTGTGCAAGAAAGAACATATTATGTGTCGTATAGATATAAGTTCCGTTGGAGTCCCGTATAATTGAACAGGTAACTTAGGGGCAGTTTGGTTAGTTTTCCATTAAGCCTTGTATAGATAAAGCTGTTTGTGTGGATTAATCTGTCAGTATAGATTGAGAAGATTTTTGTTTGGGAGGATTTTTTCAAAAATGGAAGGAGTGTGTTATTTAATTGAGAGAGGCAGATTTAGGAAAAACTAGGCTTTCTGCATAAAGCTCCCTCCTAAAAGCTTACTCAATAAGCCACTTTCTTTATCATTAAGCCACTACCAAACAGTCATATAATGCTGACAGAATAAGCTATAAGCCCATTTAACTCAATAAGCTTCTAACAGACAGACGCTAAGATTAGGGAACCAAAATACCTCTTCTTCTTGCTCTTCCACAGGAGGAACCCACAGTGGCTTGTTTCTAGACCGATTTATTCTTCTAGCCTTCTGAACACGCTGGTAAAGCACACTCCGGTTTCCATCAGTAGGCAGACCCTGTGCTTCAAGTTCCTCCATTAGCTCAGATACAACCATCTTACTGGCAGCCTTTGGCTTTAATGCATTTTTGTTTGGGCGTTTAAGGATATGATATAGCCACTCCACAACTTGTACATACTCAGATTCTGAAACATCACCCAATAGTGACGGGCCTCTGTTACGCAAAGCTCTTAGTATCTTTCTATGATACCTCTTCCAATTCTCGACACATCTTTGTCTGAATGAGGTCTCGAGAGGATTTTTATACACAAATCCAGCAACATCAGGATCTAATGAAGTCTTTCCTTCTCTTGGGACCCATCTCTTGCGTTCACCTGTGAGCCCGCCTTCCTCAATATATCTGATTGATGCAGAAGGTTAGCTTGACTTGGATATAATACATGAAACTCAATGCACATAGCTCTAACTGCCCCAAAATCACCGATAAAAGAACATCATCTTAATGAGGAAATAAAAGGCTCTATTAAGTGTTAAAAGCCAATAGAGAACAGAGAAAATGTATAGCATGTTCCTATCCTTGTCACAGAACAAATATACATAAAAATAAAGCTGGGCTTATATACGAATTACGTTTCTGTTTCAATATCCTTCTATTAAATGCTTACGAGTAAGAGGTTGGTTCCCATGCATGCTTCTCAAATATTAAAGGATTGTTTATGTTTTTTTTAGCTCTTAGAATATCCTTTGTAACCAGTCTACTCTCTTGAAAGAGTAGATAATGTATATTCCTTACATAGTCATAAAAAACAGTAGATGACTGAAGTTACTGAGTGAAATTTATTGTAAACATAAATATGACACTGTATCTTAGCCAATTTATATACATGATGTCCTGCTCTTTTTTGTTCATGCTTTCCAGTAAAGCCCATCATTCTCTAGATTCTCTTGTTGCTTTATTAGGTTCCTTATTAACTTAAGTTTACATTATAACCATATACAATGGCTTTCCTTATGGACAGCAATATCTTAAAACACACGCAAAAAGTAAACTTGGGTAGTTTAGTGCCAAACAAAAAAAAACAAACTACTACTATTGCTAAGATATGAATGCGTATAATTCATGCAGAAACATGTCATCACATTGAGTCAAATGTTGCATATGAAGAATCAAAGTTAGGTGCACTTAGGTGCAAAGAGGTCCCGGGGCCTAGGCATGAGGCGCGGGGTGTGAGGCATGGTCCTCAAGAATGCGAGGCACACCTTATCAATATATACATATACACACACACAGAATTACACACAACTCACATATGCACAAAGTACAAGCCTCCAATGCAGCAACTAGCATTACTTTGATAGAGGCAGAAAGCAGAAGGGAATAATGCGTGAGCTGTGAGGGAGAAGTTTTAAGGTCTGGGTATTATAGAGAAGGAGGCTTGAGGTGCTAAGGACTGAGTATTAACATCAGGGTTCCATCATGTCATCTATTTAATAACTACTCTTTTAAGAGGTCTAGGAGATGGGAACATGAGAAAACTTATTTTATATTATGGTTTGACTATGCCATCTATTTAATAACTCTATATGAGGCGCACCTAGGCCCACAAGGCGCCTCAGGCAAGGCGCAACGCCTTAGTGAGCCTCGTGAATACGTCTAGCCTCGACTTTAAAAAAGCCCAAGACATTGACCCTTATGAGCCTCAGAGCCTAGGCTCGCCTCAAGCATGCTTTTAAAAAACTATGTGAAGAATATATAGAATCTGTATGCTAATCAAAAGAATACTACTCTGAAAGCTCAAATGTTTTGTGGCCAGATAAAAGAAAATACAAAACCGGAACAATGCAATTTGCATTCCCAAATTAGGAAATCCTGTCAAAATTTTACATTAGCTCAAGTCCTTGGTTTACGCACCTGGCAATGTAATCAATCTCATATCCTACGTCTGCTTCTGTTTGCAGAGGTTCAATCCAAGAGCTAACCATGGTTCGATATTTTTGACTAAGTACCATTGCTCTGGCAGGAATAGTCTGATTTTCTTTGGCCATAGCTTCTAAAGCTTCCAACAGCTCAACAATCCTTCCTGATACATAAAAACCAGGTCATTAAGTTTGAGAAAGAAAAACAGAGAAGTTGAATTCTTATATGCTCATTTTTCTTTTGAGTAGTAAAGTATAAGGAAGCACAAGATCAGCTATCAGCGATGTCATAATCATATCGTATCATACAATATGGGTTGAAATACAAATTTAGTACAAATAAATGCATTAGTGCATGTGCATGAGTAAGTATGGGCATGTTTATCAGCAGCTTAATGAGCTTAATGGGACTCAGCTTATCGGTCAGCTATACGTGACTGTTTGGTAGTGGCTTAATGATATAGAAAGTGACTTATTTTCAGTAAGCTTCTAGAGGGAGCTTTATGCAGAAAGCCAAGTTTTTTCCAAACATGCCTCTCCCAATTACAAAACATGCTCCTTCCATTTATGAAAAAACCCTCCCAAATAAAAACCTTCCCAATCTGTACTGACAGATTAATCCACACACAGCTTTATCCATCCATAACTTAATGGAAAACCAACCAAACAACCCCTATGTCTCCTTCACCTATGGCACAAATAAGTGCTAACAATGAACATATGATGTGTAATAGTGCACTTTTCCCCATCTTGAGGGTCTATAAAAGAGGTGGAACAGGTTTGCCTCACAGACGGAACCATTCACAATTTCACATGGGTCCTCGAGATCTAGTAACCACATGCCTCTTTGATTGAAAATGTAAGGCCCAGCTTATAAGGCACTCTTTTGGAATGCACAATGATGGGCATCCCATCCACCATGTTATCCACCTACTCTCATATGATATAAAAAAATGATTATTGATGCTCACATGCAAATGTTACTTTAATTTCAGTCTCATTAGGTCATCCACAAACCAAAACTCAAGTTCAATTATTCAATGTTGGGAAGAGGAAAAGTTGGTGTATTTGATGATAAGCCAGAAATTTCAAGCTCAAGAGTCATTTACTCAAAATTTGAAAGCATGGATAAAGTTGCACCTTCTCTACATAAAGCCCGAAGATATAGAGAAAGAGGATCTCCATAATTTCCTTCATTGTATAAAGCTTTAATCCCGCCATCAATTTTTGAAAGGGCACGAAAATGTCGGATAGCTTCTCTTACTGAACAATATTTGGCAAAGCATTCCACCAATAGCCTGAAATGATTAATGATACAACTAGAAGATTATGCAATCAATCACACCAGGTAGAGTTGAAACAATTACAAGGTAAATGCCAGACCAACTTGTTTGTGACTATCTGTTAAATCAGGTATTCACCATTTTCAAAGAAAACTTTTCAAAGAAGAAAAAGCAAAAGCATTGCCAATACGATGAAAGATAATTAAGAGAACAATGATGATCAAGAATTATCCAGCAGACTAAAAGATTGACTTGACAATGCTAGCAAAGCCGAGACAGGGATGCCAAGTGGTAGCAAGCGGCGTCTGCGGCTAGGGTGTCATACCAGAAAAATGCAACCAATACGGTTTCGTCATCAGAAAATGGCAAAGGATAGGGTTTTCTTCAGCAGAAAATGGTTGTCATACCGTGTATAATATTAATAAAGTAATTTCTATATATATATATATATATATATATAAATATAGACACAACTTAGGAACGTATATAAGGAGATCATACTTCTACAATTATAAACAGAAGAGTTCATTTTTACTGTATTTGACTTCAGTGACTATAACTTAGGAAAAAGCTTATAGTCTAGACTAATCTTATTTGGAGATAGAAGTTTGGTGAATGGGGCTCCATTTAGGCAGGGAGGAAGCATAAAGCTAATAACCCTTTTCGACAAGACTGTAAAATGCTAGTAATAAAGGTGGAATAAGTGACTTACGCATAGGTCCTCACATTAGGTTGTACACGACGGTAATCTTCAACCATCATGCCAAGTACTGCAGCAACATCTTGTACCCTATATGTTGAGAATACTTCCGGTTAAAAAGCACTATAAATCAATAAACATAAGAATAACAAATTGTAAGAAACATCTACGTTATATTTAGAAGGTTAGTCCATCCATGAAGGACACCTCATTTTTAAATGTGTACAGAAAATACACACAAACATATTATATGTGTGTGTGTGTGTGCTTGTCTTGAAAGGAACTATGCAACAGAAAGAACACATAAATTAACTACACAAAAAGACAATAAAAGATCCCACAATTCATGCAAAGGGCAGAACATGTGTGGGACCACAGGCAACTGGTAATTACTGAGCTAATTCATGCCAAAGAGCCAAAGAGTCTCATTGAAGAAATGTAAAACGGAGAAAATAACCGAAATTTTGGCTAAATAGAGGCAGAGTATTAAGTAAAATGTATGAAGCAAGTCTCAAGCCAACTACAACACCAAAACTAAAACAGTGGTTTTGACAAATACGACATAGAACACTGAACGATGATTGGAAATAGAAAACTCTGACTACTTTAGACAGTTATGCATATGTATAGGTTAACTTACTGAATTACCTGTCAGAAGATTCTGCCCTTGTATAAGCCTGGATCACCCAGTTATATGTCTCTGTGTCGGGTTTCATAGAATCTGTGATCGAAAGCTATCATTGAGTAGAAAAAGACATTTGACAAACATATCTGACTATCTAAAGCAGCAAGAAACAGTCACATGTTAATATACCACCAAATCAACTTTCAATATGCACTAAATCCAAAGCCATCAATTGCTATGTCCTAGCTCAGGGTGGGCGGGACCGGGATTTGAACCCGAGACCTTATTGTGGAAACTCCATCCCCTTTTCACCAGGGCAACTCAGCAGAGATGGAAAAAAATTCAAATCCTTGATTATAGTTGAGAAACTGAAAAGAACCTATAAAAAATTCAAAACAACGCAAATTCACGTTAAAAATACCAACTCTCAAACATCAAACTACCTGGCTAATCTTCCAAGGAAACCTGTAATTGGAACCAACCAATAAATATTGCCTACATGTAATATATCTATTCTGTAACAAGAATAAGTGATATACAAAAATTCAGAATCCACAGCAGCAAGCCCATCGAAGAAAGATGTTTAAATGCATGCAAATGGTCTTTAAAAAGATTTAACAAATTCCATAGAAAAAATATCAAAAAAGAGGTCCACTACGAGTGGGTTATGATGAATTAAAAGACCACAACAATAAAAAATATCAAAGTATGAGCAAAATATGTTGATACATATATATATTTCAGTAACTAAATTTTTATATACCTTCCCCATACACCATGTTTTCAAATGTCGCATAGGCAATTTCAGGTATTCCACATGTTGCCTGACAACTAAGGAGACAATTGAAATGATAAGTGGTAGCCATCCTGCCGGCCTCCTCCATTTTATAGGCTATGGTCAATGCATTTGAATGATCCCCAACTTTACAATCTTCTTCGATCAGAAGATCATAAATCTCATCACTAGCTCTGAGTCTACCCTCGGCACCTTTTAGAAATACTTTGTTGGCATCATCCAAGTGGTTGCTTCTAATAAGTTCCTCTAATCACAAACAACAATTAGCTATAATTAAATGGTAAGAACATTTTCAGGCAAAAGTACAAACATTAAAATCATTGCATATTCTGAGAGGCGTAAGTTTACCAATAAGAATTAGCCAAGCAAAGCGAATATCTAAAGTCAGTTTCTCCATTGCTCCAAGAAGCTCTAAACCTCTCGTAGAATACCCTTTTGAACCAAACAATCGAATCAATGCATTAAAGGTCTCAGGGAGAGGGCAAAGACCTTCACTCAGTTCCCTCCTCAGTGCATTCATCTGCATTTCGCTGGTAAATGTGAAGACAGTCCCAATTTATGATTGCAATAATAGAAGATGAAATTGCCTATCAATTATCTGTACAAACCATACTACAAATTTAAAGGATAGAGCTTTGTATTAGTAATCTCTGCCTTGGTGACACAATCAACCAAACATAGGGCGGTAAAATTATAAGTTTCAGAGCAGATGCTAATTATATGTTGAATTCAAAAAGGTTGTATGACGACAAAATTGTACCCTAGAGTCCAAAGCTAACTTGTGTCACGGAGGAAGTAGAAACACCATTCAACAATTACATATACAGTCAAAATATCTCCTAAGACGAGTTTATTCTCTTCTTCTGGAGATTCATCAGGAATGCTCTTCCTATGAATGACGGGCTCAGATACATGGGTTTTCAAATGCCTTATAAATTGAATTTTTGCAATAGAAGTCGACAAGATTCGTTACTTCATTCTTTGTCTTTCATCATGCCTACTATGTTGCAAAAATAGTCGACAAGAAAATCATTTACACCGACTGAAAAATACCCCTTGTCGTGCAAGAAATAACATTGATATCAATCTTGAATTCGATAGACAAGCATTGAGTTGTGAAATTGTCATATAAATAGGATTACATAAATAATCTCTCTATTTAAAGTAAATAAGCCTTTTGCTCAAAAGTCCACCATAAGCAGATTTCTCACTGACCTGACCTAATTACATGGATTCACATCAACTGGATTATTTCTGAACTTCTTAATTTATATTTACCACTCAATATCTTCAATGATGACATCAAACAAGTATACAGAAATTGGAGAAATCAACAAAAATGATTTCCAAAACATTGGTAACTTGTAATTGTGAAAACTGATACTTATAAAAAGGAAATTCCTCAAGACTTTTCACAGATGCAATAAACGTTCCACTGCATCATATCTTTAACCCAAAAAAAATAAAAGGGAAGGGTCATTCAATTTGAGTAGAAGGACTAAAAGATGGTAACAATTCTTAGGAGAGTCAGAAGGTCATTTGACTTGCTTCTTAAGGACGGTATTGAGTTGAGCTTCATTCATTTCAGGAGGGTGTGACCACGTCGAAGCAAGAAAGTAGAAGATAGGACAAAGATCCTTGGTAATACATTCAATGTTTCAAACCCCTACGTGAAAACCTAGGAATGCAACAATGCATCCATAAATCATATAATGCATCAAAAGGGTTCCCATAAAATCCACACTATATCCAAAAACCGGTTCCATCCATCACAAACATTTGCAAAAAGACATACTATATATAAAATAAAATACACTTTTATTTATGAATCTTGACACCATACGACCACATAACTTTGTAAGACTTCGAAAAACAGATTTTGGCAATTATTTAAAAGTTCACTACAACTCTTCAACTAAAAAAAGAATTGCTACATTTGATCAAAACAGTCTAGAATCTATTTCTATTGTAATGAATGAAGCCTTAACATATACATATATATATACACACACACACATCAGACAAACTATTTTTGGAGGACAGGATTTGGCATATAATATCACATCGCCCAAATGAACTAGGCTAGTAAAATTTGAAATTTATATGAAAAGTGAAAACCAAAAACTTTTCTATTCAGATCACAACAGACACAATTCACAGAGTAGCTTAATATACAGCTAACAAAAAAGAGCCTTAAAATTAATCTCATATGAAACATAACACTTAGATTTAAAGATTATACGGATGAAAAGGAGTATTGAATTACACAAATAGAGGGAAATTCAAGAGCGAAGGAGACTTACAGCGCCCTCATGATCGCCATTGAGCACATGAGAAATGACCAAGCCATGAAACGACCGAGGTCCCGGGTTGATACCAGCTGCAATCATATCGTAAATAACTTCAGAAACTCCGGCAACATCGCGACTCCTTGCACGCTCCATCAAATCCTCCATAAACAATAATCTCAGTCCCTTTTCCGTCGTTGTTGCTAATAACAACGAAGCCTCATCTTCCTTCTGCTGCTGTTTCTTTCGTTTAGTAGTATGGGACACCGCGGAAGCACGAATAACGAAGGCATTTCGATGAAGGCCGCCGGGAAAAGGTGAATGACCGGCGATAATGGCATTGTTGGTGGTAAAATTCAAAGGAATTTGTGGGTATGCTAGCAAACTCGCCATGGATTTGATTGCAACTACTGTTATCTTCGTGTGTCAATTGAATTAAGCCAGTGATTACGAGGATTAAGAAGGCATGATGTTGGCTGAAAGAAAGAAGTGGATAAGACCCGGCTCTTGAACAACAATGGCAGAGGGGTTTAAGATTTGGGTTTTATGAAAGCTTGGGGCTTGGAGTACTTTCAGACTCCAAAATATTTTACTTTATAACCCCCCAAACTTTACGTTAATTCAAAAATAGCCCTCAACACTGTTTTTTTTAAAGGGAAAATAGCCAAAATAACCACTTTATACAACCATCACTAACAAAATAACTACTTTCTAGAGACCTTGCAAAATTAACCACCCAAATCGGCCCCAAGGGCGATCCACCTCGGGAACGAGCCACGTCATCGGGGGCGATCCGGCCTTAAGTTTTTTTTTTCTTTTTTTTAATATCAATTTCACTATAAATACCAACCTCCTACTTCACAATTTTTCACACTTCCTCTTTCATTTCTCTTCTCATATATTGTACTTTCACAACCCTTAACCATTCAACACAATAAACCATCACAACCTTTAACCCATTAAACACAATCAACCATCACAAAACATGAAATCACGTCAAAGTGATGATGTTTATGTGTATCTTCGAAGTGGCGGTTTACTCCAAGAGATAAATGGTATGTTAGAGTACCTTCCGATAACCTCCCCCACATGTGCAATATGTTTGTCTTCGCCAATAGCGTATTTTGGGGTCGTCAAACATGTGACGAAAAAGTTAAGTTTACGTGGTCCTTTCAATTTATTTTTTAAAACGAATACATTATATCAGTTCATGGACGACGATGATGTGGTAACCTTCCACAACGGCATTTGTCAAACTTTACCGGAAATGTTGACACTATATGTGGTCGACAATGGAGGTTATGGAGAAAATCTATCAAGTGCAAACCCGGGCGGTCCAAACATTTTTTACCCCGGTGCTGTGAGCACACTCTTCCCAGACGTTAGCGGTGCAAACTCATATGGTCCAAGCACACTCTTCCCTACCGGTTGTGCTCCCGGTGTAAATCAGAGCACTTTCTTCCTTAATGGTGGCAGTGGTGAAAATCCAAGCACCTTCTTCCCTTATGATGCCGCTGGAAATTCATATTTTGAACAAAAAGTTACCGTTGAACCTGATAGTTATTTTGTTCAAGATTTGAACATGCCTCCGCTGCAGTCTCCCAACCCATACCCGATCCGGTCTCCCGAACAGTCAAAACCGTTGTGGGAGGTAGATATGGCCGAAGATGTTTCTGTTGTTGCATCTAGAAAGTGGTTATTTTGTTATAGTGGGTTGTATAAATAGGTTATTTTTGTGATTTTCCCTTTTTTAATACCAGAAGGGTACTCGTAAAATGTAGCGAGATACATCTTGATTTTAATCTTTCATTTTTTTGTTTCAATCGATGTTATAATACGGTTTTATATGTTTTTGATAAAACGATAATGTTTTTATTTTTGAATAAAATATAAATATAAAGATCTCATAAAAAATTGAAAAAAAATATTGATATTAGTATCAAACTAACTATTTAAAATTTCTCATTTTTTTGTGTATTCTTTAATTCATTTTTTTAATTTTTGGTTTAATAATATAAATTTTTATAAAGATAATGATCAAGTATTTTGTTAGAAGTCAATGATTATCTTAATTATATTTTTAATTTTTTATATTTAAAATGAGATATTTTTTGTGTATTTCTTTAATTCATTTTTTTTATTTTTGGTTTAATAATATAAATTTTTATAAAGATAATGATCAAATATTTTGTTAGAAGTCAATGATTATTTTAATTATATTTTTGATTTTTTATATTTAAAATGAGATATTTATCCTCTATTCGATTATGTATATCTCTAGTTAGTTACACGAATTCAAACATGAAGCTTTAATAAGTTGTAATTACGCACAATTTACTTGTAATCTTGAATTTTAAGTAATATGTATCAATAAACAGTATTTCATGCATAAAAAAAGTTTTTAAGAGTTGTTGTCAAATGTTTTATAATATAGTATAGATATCAGTCTGACATCTTTAACAACTCAACTAGTTTAAAAGATTCACATAATCGGTATAACAAGTTATAACAGTTCCTATCAAAAATTGTTACTGTGTAACCTCTTACAGCATAATCGGTACCGAATCTTAACCGGTCCCTAAACTTAAATATGCGATTGATAGGGACAGGTCCTTAAGACCCAATCCACTTTAACTGATTCATTAACTAATGGACGAACATCATATGACCTTTTGTTCTTAAATTGGTCGTACACAGTTGTATAAAAAAGTATCATATTTGACAAAACCGGTCTTTTTTAACTGGATCTAGCTCCGGGGCTTAAACGGTTTTCGTCTTTCATGCCCACCTCTGCTTACAATGACAAAAACCAGTCTTTTTTTTAGACGATGATATGATTTGATATGATCCGGTATATGAAATGGTATGATTTCGATATGGAATGATATGAAAATCATGTCATATTCATGATACATGCTTTAATAAGTATAACATATTATGTGCGAGTCTCGTTTTGATAGTGCAACTTGGGTTGGGTTGGGTTGTTCAAACCCTAGTTTAAGCATCTAACTTTACTAAGCCTCAAACTAGGGTTTCGATATTGGTTGGGTTGGGTTAGGTTGGACGGTTTACGGTCATTTGAACAACCCAACCCAAGTACTTTGGTTTGGAAAATCATAACCCATAAAATTTAGTTAAAGAAGGATCTAATAACCAAATTAAGCTACTAAAACATATTTTGAACTTTTAACATACAAAATAGAATTATGTGGTCATATCACATTACAAATTACCGTTACCGACTCTGAGTCAGCTTGCAAGCACCACAACTGTTCGAACCAGTTTGGGGGCATCTCGACTAATCCCATCGAGCCCTGGAAATTGCATACTTTTATCTTGTATTCAAATCAAACTCGCCCCCTTCACGCCAATCGCTTTGCACACCTGTATCTCCATTCTCTCTTTCTTCATCATTCAGAAAATCCTCTGATGGCTCTTTCTCATCTTTTTGAGTAGTATTATTACCCCATCCATTCATCATCTCATCTGGGTTCACTTCCTGCTCCTGCTGTTCACCCATTGACCCCAACGCACTGGCTCGTATCGGTGCCCGAGCCATCATTTCGGCTCGGGCCTGTTCAGCTTGTGCCATGGCCGCCATCCGTAGATTGGCGGCGTGAGCCTCTCGGCCTGCTTTCTGTCGGGTTTCGATTTCGGCCCTGGCTTCGAACAATGCTCGTCTCTCTTCTTGAAGGAGAGCTTGTTCGATTAACAACCGTTCTTCGGATCGGAACTCTCCGATGGATCGTTTGCGGGAAATGATATTGAAGGCGAGTACTTGTTTCTCGAAGGTTGCGGTGAATTCCGCAACTTTGTTGGCAATGCTGTGGTCCCATTGTTGACAACGAGACAGTACTTGGCCGGTGGTGTCCGAATCGAGGATTCTATCGTCCTCCTCGGCTTCATAATCTGCTACTACATGGTAAGGTAACAGCCTGAAGAGACATTAAAGATAACTTTCAGTTATATCCATTTTCTAAGATGTAGCAATATCATTGTGGGAGGTCCACTGCATCCAAACCGAAAAAACCCAGTGTATAAACCAAACCGAACAAACCCAATATATCCCGTTTCAAAGCAGGGTCTGAGAGGGTGGGATGAAGACCTGAGAGGAGAAAAAAATTTCTAAACAATCACATCATGTATAGGCTTTGCAAGCTCAAGCTCTTGCTAATCATGCAGACAGTCAACGTGAGAAGGGCACATCCATCCCTAGAGTGTCAAACTCTGGCAGTACCATTTCTAGTATGGAAACATAAATCACCTCAGGAACATTCTCTATACCCTCGGGTAGAGGCAAGGTCTGCGTACATCTTCGCTTCCCCCCTCCCCCCCCCCCCTTCTTCCCCACACAAACTCCCAAGACCCTATCTCTATGTGGGATATACTTTGTTCGTTTGATTTGGTCTAAAACATTATGTCAATGGACAATTTAAGAACACTGGTAACATATGTGGTCAAAACCTAAGAAAAAATTAACTATAAGTAGAGAAATCGCATAAAGGAGACTAGTTTTTATCATATTACTAAAACTTGCATTCCATTTTAAACAATTTTATACTCAAATTGGCTTGTGAAGCCCACCAAATCACCAATTGATGACACTTGAGAAAAAAACCAAAGAGAAATGCATTGAAACACTTCATCAAGGTACAGTAATAGCAACTGGTGTCGAACGAAGAAGAAACATAAATTAATGATTGATCCTGAAGATGCCTGTCAATTGCAATTGAAGAAAATCTATATAGATGTCTTACAAAAATAACAAAATTAGCGATTATCATGCTGACCAAATCATCAAGCATTACAACATGCCCTAATTTGAATGCTGGACAAAATCCAACGTACCCACAGTTACCATGGAAAAAAAAAGAGAACAAGGATCCATCAACTGTATCCCCTAGACCTCCAATCTGAAATGGTTCTTGCATACAACATGCCCTAATTTGAAAATTTGTATTTCATACCTCTGAAATAGGTCTATAGATTCCTAATAATTATTGATACAACACACCAACTAAAACCTGCATGGGGGAGCTAGAGAAGGGCGGTGGAGCTGTAGAAGTGGGCAAGGTCACAAAGGATTCAAACGACATTACAGGAAATGTCCCAATTGGAGATATGATGGAAGGAAGACATTACTTTTATATGGCTAAGGCAAACATAGTGCAGCCTGAAGCAATAGTAATAACATCAGTATTAACAAAAAGATTAAAGATATGGACATAAGAGCAGAATAGTAGTATGACTTTAAATAATTTAAAAACAGTCATCATTTTGACAGGACCAAGCACAGTAGAATATTATCATGTGGCTGGCTCAAGCAACCGGGAAAGGATGGAATGAGCAAAGTTGGGTATGAAGTAATATCAATCTAGAAAGTCTGATCCTCCTGCAGAAGTTCTATAGGTGCAACTTGGATGTCTCAAACTGAATGTAGGCTCAAAAGGTAAACCAAGGTGAAGTCTACTGTTCACAAGCATTTCCTAAAATGTATTATGGTAATGTCCAATACCCCAATATCAAGTAATTCATGAATTGGTGAAAATTGGCATGTTGCTGCCATGAAGAGCAGGGGATATGTTTTTTTGCACACCCAAGGAGGGACTCAAAAGTATTGACGCTCAATCGAAAGAAAGAYAAATCCACTATATGCTTAACTCATGCCCCAGCAATCCCTAGATACAGGGGATACAAATTAATTTTTTTTTAGCGGAGGGAAGATGGGGAAACGCATAGAGCATGCAGGCTCAGCTCTTGCACTCCTCCTATCCGTGAAGCAGAGGTGGGAGAAAAATCGTAACTCCCCGATCTAAACATATGGCAAAAGGGAGCCAACTCAGACTCCTTTAGCACATACAACATTATACATTTTATCATGTTATAGTTCCATTCAAGTTGTGTGATGCATACACTTTTTTCCTCGTAGAAAACACAGAAGTATAGTTTAACAATCACATCTTGTCAGGACTTTGGACTGTAAATTATCTCTATAAACTGCCTCTAGTATTGATTAGCTTGTTCTTTACATTTGTGCATCTATCTTTCTGGGTACTACACCCCCCCCCCCCCTTTTCAATCTATTTGAGGTTACAATCGATAAAGACCATCAATGAGTTCCTCTTCTGGGGAGTTTTCTCTCCAAAAAAAGGTTTCTTTCCATCAGTAACAAACAAGCACATGTGCCAATTTTATTTTTGTGATAAAGTGCTCATTAATATTTAGCAAGATATGACTTACTTTGGTGCGAGGCATTTTTTTTTTCATACAAATTCTGATGATTGTGTATGCTAGAGTGATATTCTAAAATGCCTTTATATCCTCCTATTGGTCCCGAAAGGCATCCCTAGTACGGTTACACCAAGGGCGGACCATAAGAGTGAAAGTAATAGAATTTGCTCACAAAATCATCATAGATATATTGATTTGTTCCTTGTATTTGGAAGGGAAGGTCCTGTACTCTCACCAGAGGCGGACCATAAGAATGAAATTTATAAAACTTGTTCACAAAATCATCATAGATATATTGGTTTTTCCATTGTATTTGCACGGGTCCTGTGTTCAAGTCCTCTCACCACCCTCTCTTCCAAAAAGAAATTCAAAAACCAGAGCTATAAAAAAAACCCAAATTAAAAGCTGAAAAACAAGAAATTTTCTAAACAGAGCATTCAAACCCACGCCCTTCAAGATGAACCTTCAAACCAAAGATGTAAACCAACTCAGCCACCACAAACTTCTCTTATAAGTTTAGGTTTAAGAAACATAGGGGCACGCAACAAAACATAATAAGCAGGTAATTACCAAAATGGAATGTCAAGAATGTAGTTAATACAAGATCAATAAGTTCAAAAAAAGAAGAAGATAGAATTCCAACAATCAGCATAATAAATACAACTAAGCCACTGTCACCAGCACCAGCTTTATCTAGAAATTCATACACCCAAGCAAAAGAGAAAAATATATCTTTGTCTTATGAAGCATTGTTTCTATGACCATAGGGAAGCTGATCGCCATGGCCATAATGGAAGTCAAAAGAGTTCTAGATCATAGTTCAAACCAATTAATTATAGATACCCCACCCCAAGACTTAACACGCCAAAAGCTATAAAAGAATAATGTATGATAGTGTAAAAACATCAAGTAGGCTTCTACATCTAAACAAACATCGAGCTTCAACCATGCATGCTAGCTAATCCTAATTTTTTTATAAATACTTCTCCGAATAAAATACCAATCGAATTGGGAATTTCACCGCAAATCCCAATTCCAGAGATATCCGATCAATGCAAGATATAAACTAGAAATGAATCAAGGATAAGCAGCAACAGTAAGAGAGAGGGAAAGCTCACCTCTCACAGGCGTCTTCCAGTGAAGAAAAAGGGCGCTTAAAGTCGGGATGGCAGACACGCCAAGCATCCTGATACGCCATCTGCAATTCAGCCTGGTTTGCAGGAGGAGAAGGAGAAGGATGAGTTTGAGTTAGAGTTTGAGCTTGAGTTTGAATCCGATTAGGAGGCCTGAGCTGTGAATTCAAAGACATAGGGTTAGGGTTTTGTAAAAGATTAGGGTTAGGGTTGTTCTGCTGCTGTTGCTGTTGGTGTTGATTGTTGATGGGACGCTGTAGTGGTCGAAGATGTGCATCGATATTGGATGGAAATCGAGAGATTGCTTGCTGCTGTTTGTGCTGCTGCTGGATTTGCTGTAAGAGAAGGAATTGTTGCTGTTGATGCTGATGTTGCTGTTGATGTTGAAGCATCAGATGCTGTTGTTGTTGCTGTTGCTGTTGCTGGTGAGCCATGGCCGCTTTGGCGTCTTCCATTTTCGTATGGATTTGGTGATCTTCAATCACAGTCTCTGTCGGCTCTCCACTTTTTCAATGGAGGTCGGAGAGAAGGAACAACGCTGGTCCAGATTCGATGGAAGGAACCAAACACAAATCGTACTTCTTCAACAACAAAAAAAGGAAAAAAGGATAATAATTACAAATTATCCATTAATTATTATATTTTTTTAGTTAATTACATAATATTTTTATTTTAATTAATTTATATTTCTTTATCAATTATTAAATATTGGTGGGATGATTACGGGTAGATTTTGAAATGAAGTTATTAATATTGAAAGTAATAGAAGAGTAATCGCATAATGGAATGATATACATCTCGATTTCAATGTTTTATTTTATTCTATCTTCGTCGATGTTATAATATGATTTTATATGGTACCGAAAAAATGATAATGTTTTTATATTTTTTTAAATAAAATATAAATTTGAAGGTATGATATAATTTTTTTTTTAAATATATCGATTTTTATATTAAATTAAATATTTAAAAGTTTTTGTTTTTGTGTAATTTCTTTAATTCTATTTTTTATTACTAGAATGGTACTCGCACAATGCAGTGAGATACATCGTGATTTTATTTTCTTTTATTCTTTATCTCAGTCGATGTTATAATATGGTCTTATTTGATTTTGAAAAAACGATGATGTTTTTATTTTGGAATAAAATATAAATTTGAAGATATTATAAAATTTTGGCAAAAATATATCGATATTACTATTAAATTAACTATTAAAAATTCTTATTTTTTGTGTAATTTTTTAATTCAATTTTTTTATTATAATTTTAATTTAGGCTTAATAACGAAATAGTTTATATTTGGTTTAATAATATAGTTTTTTTATAAAAATAATAATTAATTATTTTGTTAGAACTCGATAATTATCCTAATTATATTTTAGATTTTTTAGATTTAAAATGATATGTTTATCCTCTATTTGATTATGTTTATCCGCAGTTAGTTATATGAATTCAAACATGGAGCTTTAATAAGTTGTATTTATGCATAATTTACTTGTAATCTTAAATATTAAGTAATATGCATCAATATACAGTACATTATGCATAAAAAGTTGTTTTTAAGAGTTTTTGTCAAATGCTTTATAATATAGTATAGCTAATTTAATTTAAATTTAATAATGAAGTCGCCTATTTTTAGTTTAATAATATAATTCTTTTATAAATATAATATTTAGTATTTTGAATTCAACGATAATTCTAAATATTTATTAGATTTTTTATATTTAAAATGAGATATTTATCCAGAATGATTATGTTTATCTGTAGTTAGTTACACAAATTCAAAAAGAAAGATTTAATAAGTTGTACATACAGACAATTTACTTGTAATCTTGAATTTTAAGTAATATGCATCAATATACAGTACTTTATGCATAAAAAATGATTTTTAAGAGTTTTTGTCAAATGTTTTATAATATAGTATAAATATATTTATTTTGGAACAAACATAATTAGAATATGAACTTTGAGACTGGGGATGATTTTATATAAGCAGGTTCATTCATGACATTTTATAGGCTCTGGACGAACGTAAAAACAAGGCCCACTATGAGAAACAAGACTTTTAGTCGTTGCTAAAACTCAATTTATCATTAGAGAGAGTATATAACAACAACGTGTCGTAGCTATAACTTGTGACGAAAACATGTCATCGCTAAAAGACGTCAAAGCTCATTTTTATTGTAGCGACCCTTTGTAAGTACGAAAAAAAATCAATAAGTGTTTTTCATTAGTATAAAATTGAGTACAATAAATGTTAATAATTTACTGAGAGAAACATTCTTATTTATCTTTATTATAGATATATAAGAGAATACTTAAATTAATTACTTCTTATTAGGTAATTTGAAACTAAAAGTATAGAAACTGTGGTTAATTTTTTTTATAAAATGTAAGAATTTATTTTGTTCATAACAATAAATATATGTTATTTGATACAAAAAGAGAATTCGTGTAAATGAAATAATCGTAAGGGTCAATGAGTGGTCAATAATAGAGAAAATTATTAAGGTTTTCTAGAAAAGTAGACAAGTGAGTATCAATAAGAATATGAAAGAAAAAATGATCTATCGAGATCCAATAAGAATAAACAATGAATTGAACATATAATATGCAAACTCAACAAATGGTTTTTTGAGTTCTTAGATAGAATCTTGTGGTGTGGTGGAATCCCAATGAAAGATACATTAGTCAAACAATTGATGAAAATCTTTAAATTCTATTGTCCTTTTTATGCTACACTAAAATAAAATATAAAGATTAAAAGTTTATGGAACATAACATATATAAGAAATATTACTAAATACATCTAGTAGGGAAAACTTATTGATTAATTACAAAACCATGAAACATGTCATAAATCATAAGAAAAATAGATTGATTGTCAAAAAATGGTAAAATATTTTCTGTAGAAGCAAAAATAGACAACAATAGTCAACAAAAACAATTAGRACAACATAACCAAATAGCAATAGTCAATAGAAGCAGAAATAGATAAAAATATCCAACAAAAATATAGCAGTAGCAAGCACATGATCTTAACGTTGGATTGTTGAAGCATGAAAATAATCAAGCATAAAGATAGCAATAGGCAATGTCATTGGACCTTGCTAGAGATTAAAAAAAAATAGAAAGACAATAAACAATAGCATATAATGAATGACCAATTAATTTTTTTTATTTTCTTCTCCACTGTAATTAGTTGATATATTTTTAGACCCTTATTATCTACTAAATTCTTTTCGTCTGTTATTACATGCTATAATTTTGGGTTTCTTTAATTTATTAAAAAAATATTAGACTACTTATGTATGTTAAGAGAAAATTTTGGGCCCTTTATATGTTTGGGCCCTGGCCGTGCGCCCGTGCCGCTCTCCTCCAGGGGTGGCCCTGTATATAAATTATTGCTCACATTTACTGAAACTCTACCGACTGTCATTATTATTCTGATGTCGTACCAGATACCCAAAAATTTTACTTCTCTTATGGGCAAGGTCTTCCTGCTAACTTATGTCTAAGGACGTCCATTAAGTGGCTCACGTGCATGACACAATCATTTCCTCAAATTGATTATGATTAACCATTTGATTTGCACACTCCTTATAACGGCTGCCCAAATCCCTTATTGCAAAAAATCGTCTCTTCAAAATTCCAAAGATTGAAGGCATCTTCAAGATTTGTTGACTACGGACTTCTTCTACCTTGGTGATGTCACTGATAATGTGGCAAATATGAACATCAAACAACCCTATCAATGTTGAGGAATTGCATGGTAAGTGTTTTATCGTTTTCTTGTGCTCACAATACACCTTTATAGTGATAATTTTGTCTTTTGAACTGTTCCTAAAAAAATTACAGTGAACTTGCCTACGATGATTAGTTTCCAAGTATTTCATGGTGAGATGTTTATAGAGATGCCTGGTGGGATCTATATCGGAGGTCAGGGGTGAACTTTCTTGATTTGGTTAACTGTGATGATCTTTCTGTGCATGAGTACTCCATGATGAAAGAGATTGAATACAAGGATGGACATCTTATGTTCTACCATTTTACGATTCTTGATATGGACCTCGATCATGGTCTTCAGGCTTTGGGTAGTGATGATGATGTTAAGAACTTGCTAAAAGATGTTCCAAGATGCGTTTAATGAAAATGCAAACCGCACCACAAATATTTGAAGTCATGCGATGTGCTGCGGTGTTGGCAGTTTATACCAGTTTGATGATTTAGAAGAACAATCATATACAATTTTTAAAGTCCAATAAGCAAATTATAAATGAAGTAAAATGTGTTGTTATTTGTTACTGTTTTTTTTTATTCCGACCAAACAAAATTGTATAACTTATTAACATGGTATTTACTTTAGCACTTGTTAAATTAAATGAAGGTAAAAGTGAAATAAAAGTGTCTTTCTCAATTTTGGAAAATCAATTTTATTAAAATAATTAAAAAAAAGATGTTTATGAGTAAATGAAATTAGAAAATAAAAACAAATTTATTACTTTTGTGGTCTGTTTGTAAAAAGAGTTGATTACAAATTTATTCCTTGTAGTTTCATGATTTTTACGAAAAGGTTTGTTAACCACAAAAATTCATTACTATGGTTCTTAGGGTTTCATTTTTGCTACAGATTTGGTTCTTAGCCATAACTTTGATAAATTTGTTTCGAAGAATGATTGTCCGAAGCTAAAGTTGGGAGCTTTCCAATAGTAACAAGAGAGCATTCCAGATGACTGCCGAGGAGGCGAATGCATTAGCAGATGTGGTATTGGGTACGTTTCTTGTTGAATTCATACCTGCCTATATTCTATTTGACTTTGGTGTGAACTGCTCTTTTTGTCGATTTCTTGCTGTCAAAGATTGTTTGTGTCTGCTAGTACTTTAGAGGATGACTTGATAGTAGAAGTAGCTAATGGTAGTCAAGTCCTGATCCGCAAACTGCTCTTTATATCAATTTCTTTCTGTCAAAGATTGTTTGTGCCTGCTAATACTTTAGAGGATGCCTTGATAGTAGAAATAGCTAATGTACTAAAGTCCTTATCAGCAAACTGCTCTTTTGTGTTGAGTTATTTCTGTCAAAGATTGTCTGTGCAAACTACTCTTTTGCTCTTTTGTGTCGAGTTCTTTCTGAACTGTTGTGTACTAGAAATCGAAAGGAGAATTTTTCGATGAATCTATTGTCGATCTCTATCAGCGGATATGTTATGATAGAATGGATTGGTTGGTAGAAAACCAAGCTGAAATCTCGTGTTCCAATAAACTTATCTGGATTTCCATATCAGGAGGTAGTGTTGTGCTTGTCTACGGCTAGAGAAGAAAGGGGGATGTTGTGGTATTTTTTGATGGTGAAAGCATGCAAGTGTTTGGTTAAAGGGTGTTCCTTATACTTGGCATATGTATTCGATGTCAAGTTAGAGAAGAAGAAGCTTGAATACGTAAGGGTCATCCGTGACTTCCCTGACGTATTTCCTGATGACTTATCGGTTTGCCATTCGGCCTTTATACATGCTGCTACGATGGTAGCAATGAA